TCTCTTTCAGCTATCACAGAATGCTTTTGACAATTTTGTTTTGTTCAGAACAGGTGGATCAATACTCTCGTACATGCTGTCTTCAGGCCGTGTCTTTCTTCTCTCAAACGTTTGGACAGTCTTACCTGGTGACATCTGGAATCTGAAAATATATGTACCATGACATAAAATAAATATAATATGTCATACAATGTTATATTTAAAATTTGATTCAAGTAGGTACATTTTGACAAATATCTTTGATACAGGAGTGATGCAGCAGTTACTTTTAATTGTACAATTTCCTGCAAACCTCCCTAAATAGGATTGCAATATGAGAACAATATGACAATGCATGACATTATATTATTATATGTTCATATACAATATATAAGAGCAGTATATCTACCCAAGACCACAATAGTATTCTAGTATTCTTTACTTATTGTCGTTACTTATGATGTATATTACAGGTCATCGTTTCAATTATTATAACCACATTCTTACTATCAAATAGTAAATAATATAGATCTTTCAGTGGCCATTTGTAAAAGTTACATTTAAAATTAATCATGAAACTTACTTTTTAACACTTTTTGGTGCTATTTTTCTTTTCTTGTCATGCTTTACTGTACCTGGATCATCTTTTGCAAGTCCTCCGAACAATCTACAAGAGAAGAGGATTAATGTGTTCTGTGACATTTAATACAATACTTTCATCAGATTGTGTGGTCCAGCTCTGGTAGTTTACACAGTACACAATACACACGGTACATGCTTTACTTGCTATTTCTAGTGCTACTCATTGCACTATGTATCTGCTTTTAGGACTCCATCATAGTTCTTGAAACATTGAATATTGTAAATGACGATATGATATTTCATCATCATTGAACATCCGTTGTAATTGTGCATCGTTTTGATTTTTTCAATTTCATCCATGTCAAACTACAATGTCATTATTTTTATATAAAACTAATGGAATAATAATAATGGATAACTTACATTAAATTTTCGTCGTGAGCAGAGTTGCTGTGCCCCTGTGAGAGATTCTTGATTTAAAACCTGCTCTATTTTGTGAATATAACGTATAATTACCATAATTCAGTTACTACAAATGTCCTAATTTTTAGGGACGTCTTGAATCTCAATTTTCAGAAATCGTCGATAAGAACGTACAATTGAAATATGATACTGGTATTAAGGTCAAAATAATTTTTGATGTCGCTATTTCAAGCATGAAAACGGTAAAACTTGTGTTTTAAACAACTTTGAACTTACTCTTAGCATCGCTTCCTGACTTGTCTTCGACTTGTTTTTCTCTGTCCCATCTAGTGACCTGACAGAAGTAGGCCGTTAATTAAAAGTTAATTAAAAGTTTAATTATCATTGTTACTCTCGTGTTAATGAATATTGAAATTTAGATTTTGCAAATTTGCAGAAATTTCCGTCTTTGAAACAAAACAAGAATTGCAGTGTCAAACCTTAAAGTAACAGTGTAAAATAAAATACCTCGTTTTAGAGAAGCTAGATTTGGAAGAGCTAGCTGCGGACATGTGACTGTCTCTTCTTAAGTACACTGAGAAAGCGTCAAAATTGTAGCCGCTTAACTCCGCAAGGGGGTCATGGGAGACCTTCCTATAGCCTGAACAACTTGATAGCAAGATTGTAATGTGATACTATAGCTTGGGAGCAACTTGATACGATGGTAATGTGATATACTTGTTCCTATATATTGTCCTTAAACGTTGAATTCGTTTGTCACAGATGTGTGCACGAGAAACTAGTGTTGAGCGTGTTTTTTGTTTAGGAAGTACATGATAGAGAGATAGTACTGTTAGAAGTTAGAACATGTTGTTATGTGTTATTGTGGTATGCAATCATTTGTTTTTTTTGCTTGTATACTTGAATATTGTCTAGTCTGTGGTGTGTAATATCTAATCTAACGTAGGTAATTTGTGTTTGGTAGACAGCATTAATCTTGAGACACTGGGCTTGCACATAATTCATAATGCTGTAATAGCCTCATCAACCCAAATAGATAGTCTTGCAAGTGTTTATCTCAAGGATATTTCAAGAGCTCTGTTGGGACGATTATATTTATGGAAATAAGTATCTATTTTATCCTCGACTGATAATATAAAATCTGTTTAAGGAGGAATAGATCACGAAATATGTTAAACTATAACCGCAATTATCTGAACAATCACATTAACCACTTCATACCGCACACAAGATCTTGTGTGTAATCATGACGTGATCTCAACCGTGTAAAAATAACACTAAACCTGCATTACTGTGTAGAGCACCCTGAGAGACTGCCCAATAATCTTGCTCTGTTCTTACAAAGCGCGCTCGCGTCGCGTACAGCACCCCCGGCATGTACAATTCGTTCAGGATTCGTTTAGGAGTGAATCTCTTCTGCCAGATATCTTTGATACTCCTGCCAAGCTCCTGTACTCGGGTGGGTTTGGTGGAGGGTGGGACTAGTTGGTTAGCCAGGATCTTTATGTGCGGATCTACACTGTACCTTCTGCGCTTTGTAGCGCTAGGTGCAGCACTGGGTGTTATAGCGCTGGGTGTGGCGGGTGCTAGAAGGATGTTAGGGAGCGACTCTGCTGGCAGAGTGCCAGTAGAGTGTGGGGGCGTGGTAACAGGACATGAGTCTGTGAGCCCGTAGAAAGGGTCCCCGTTCTCTGGTATCGAGGCTAGTTGACTCATCTGCCAACCTGGGAACACCACAGAACTTACTATCACGGAGCTTATCATGACGACAAGTTACTACAGAAACCTAGTGACTACAGAAAACTAGAGATTTTAAAGTGACTATAACAACTGACTCCAGCTACTGACTTTAAAAATGATAGTTCAGCAGCCACCTAACACGTTATTAAATAAATCTCTAAAAAATGATGAAAGAAAGATAAAAAAACTTACGCTTTTCAACGTTGTTCATAAAAGAGAGAGGGTCGTCTCGTTGGTCTAGCAATTTAATCATTTCTATTGTGCCAAGGTGTTCCTACGAGGGAAGGTGTTCGATTATATCGTGCTATTTAAATTGATTATTTGTTTACTAGTGGCTTTGCAGGGGACCTCGACAAATATTCGTGTTATTTTAAAGTTTTTGAGCGGATGTTTTGCAAGTTAAGAATTCAACAGCGGCATATTCTATGTTTTAAAAGATGATTTCAAATTGAGAGGACGTTTTGCGGACAGACATAAAATAATAAAACGATATCTTTTAACGAAGTTATGATAGGTTAACTAAAGTTGCAGCTTTCAGTTCGCTGCAAAATTTATTGTTGGACAAACAACTGCAAAAACACAAAACTTACTACAAGACATTGATGACGCTGTAAAGTTTAAAATAAAATCAGAGCCGACATTGTATGCATGATTCGTGAAAACGGATCAATAAACTAAGATCAAACAAATTAAGAGGAGACAAAGCGAACTGTGTACCGATTAAGGTAATACGTTACATAGTGCCGTGCTTAACAATGCAGACTACTCACTACAAGCTCCTGGAGTCTGTCTTTACTAAAGAATTAATTTTGCCGGAAACAATAACATCAGACTTCGTTCAGTTAGAAGATAGCCCGCAGCTCCGTGCAGAAAGTGAACCGTTTTTGACCACCACTCGGTCAGTAGCTGGCTGAGTGGCACTGGTTAGCCTTGTTTGTGTTTAGAGCATGCTACAAGCCTGCTCATACCTCCTCACTTCAGCCCACGTGCGTGTCACGTGTTAACCACGTGGTACATTTCAAGTCACGCGATTAAGTAAAACTGAATGCTCTCTTGTTTGTACTATGTATGTAGGAGGTAATGTCGTAGTACTTTAACGTAGATGACCAGTTGTGAAGCCGCTAAATCTATCGCGTGATATAAATTAATAGCGAGAATTCTTGGATAAACCGTAGACGAAACAGCGGCTGTTCAGCTGAGGTTCTGTCTAAACTCTAATTAATTATTAAACTAATTAATTGTTAAATAGTACAGATAGTAGTCTGGCTTGTTGGTGTTAAAACCTGCACACATCTTTAGATAACAAGCACGTCTACTGAAACCACCAGTGTTACTATGCAGTATGCAGCATAATATATATAGTAAACAATAGATTATATAAACTATAATGTATAAACAATTCTTTCTTCTACAAAAAGAATTTCATACGCATTCTTAAAATAACTTAAAATAACTTATATTGATTTTACAAGCGGGTACATTTTAATATGTTGTAAAGAACTTATCATTTATATCACATGTTATGAGTTGTCAGTGACTTAAGGTGAAGAAGTAATCACGATAATTATTGTGTCTGAAGCTAGAACTAGATCATTCGACTAAAAACAGTCGGCTCGCTAAAATGATTTGCTTTATAGACTGGTGTTGAAAATATAAAATCACAATAAGCAAGGATAAGATCACTAAAATATGACAGATACGAAACCGAAAAGATTGCAATATTACAACTCATACTAGACAGAAGGAACGACTACAACCTGGCACATACCTGGCACATACCTCAGTCATCCGAGATTGTCTGAGATTTGGCATTCTCACCCTTATTATAAGTCATATCTCTCGTATGAACACATTATCTTCGCATCATTATTATAATTACTTTTTAGAACCCGATCCCTCTCTTGACCCTACCTCAAGATAACACAACAGACTTCTTAATTTTCAGTTAACCAGATCTTCATTTTTAGCGGGGAATGAAATGTTACATCATTTCAAATTATGAATTCTCTGCATTTGTAATTTGATATGTTCAAAATAATTGAATGATTATTTAAATATTCAGTTAATGATTTAAGTATTCAGTTAATGATCTAAGTATTCAGTTAATGATTTAAGTATTCAGTTAATGATTTAAGTATTCAGTTAATGATTTAAGTATTAAGTTAATGATTTAAGTATTCAGTTAATGATTTAAGTATTCAGTTAATGATTTAAGTATTTAGTCAATGATTTAAGTATTTGCCTAGTTAATTAATTAATCGTTACACTATAATTAGCATGGGAGAAGATGAGAGTGTTTACAGACAGATAGTGCACCCGCTAGCTCAGCAGACCTTGAAAAACGAGTGCACTAAACTAACAGACTTCACCAAAATAAGTTAGTTTTTTTGTTGTTGTTTAATTTATTTAAAATGAATTAGTAAAGTAACGTTTTCGTTTCTGTAGATAACTTTTCTTTATTCTGAAAGTTGCATCAATTGCTATCGGTTCTACTTTTACGTCCAGCTTTTTATTTTAAGTCTACTTGTTAATCTTATATTTTAAATAAGATCAGTTATTCAAAACAATTATTTAAAACACTTATCCGTTTCAGTCCACGATTTCCTGAATTCACTAAGCAGTATTTATGACACTGCTGGGACAAGCATTGTCAAGCTTGTCGAAGAGAACAAGAAGAAAATAGCAGAGGTCACTCGAGAAAAGTATGTGCGCTATTTATAGTAACACCCAGAGCATTCAAACATCTCACATAGGATTCCATTACGGTGCGAATCTTCCATTATGTGAATTTCCTAAATTGCTGATCGAAAAGGGCATATTGTCAGCAGTGACCCCAATACTCACGGTATTCTAGATTTTAGATTGATGCTATTTTAAGCACAATCCTGTTGAAGTGTGTAGTGTGTTCACGCTTCTTGTAGGGCATCTGAGAGAGTTTAATATTACTAGCTGTCTACATCATCATACTCTAACTAGCGTTATATAGATGTTAATTTTATTCTTAATTCTAGTAATTCTAAATATGCAATATAGTTTAACACTCATTTATCACTTTGTAGCAAACATTAGAATTCATAATCTAAAGGTTCAACTCTTGCCATTATTAGTGACTCTGGGACATGTACACAAGAATTAAACAATAGAAAAAATACCTACGCCTTTATTAAAGATATTTATGTTAAACTAGGCGTACTCAACGCCTAGTTTAACATAAATATCTCACATATTACAAATCTAACAAGTCACTTTTTTTCAGTTTACAATATCCGAACACAACACTGACGGCTTGGTTAGGACTATTAGAGAACTTCAAAGAGGAGGGAACCTTACACAGCAAGTTTGCGGGGGATATAAAGAATGAGACTGTGGTGACTCTTCAAGAACAGAGAAACCATGTTAAAGAGTCTGTTAAGAGGGTAATTTCACTTTCACTTGGATATTTGACTTTGTATTCTAGAAATATAGCGCTATTATATCGGTTAGAACTTATTATAATAGCAAAGAAATGGTAGCTTTCTTAGTTTCTTTGTCATGAAGTCTTTGTTTGAAAAGCTTGTAAACTCTTAAAGAATTAGTTTTAGGTTATACCCCAACGATTCGTTCACACATTTTCATCTTTTTGTTGTTGTTCTATGTTTCACTAAGTCAGACACGTAATAAGGTCCACTATCATTAGCTTTACACTATCTGAAACGGCTAAGATCTGCATTGTGTAACACGGAATGTATTATATATAGCCCCTATTATATATCTGTATTATGTAACACTGCCATACTATGCTATACAAGCTGTCTACTATACTGTGTGCATTGTACAGAGCATAACAGTACGCTGTTATTATTAGATATTTCAAGATAAGACACTTCATAACAACGTTTGACATGTGGTTAGAAAGTGATAATAAGAAAATACTTCACATAGCTGAAGGAGCATCATCAGTTAGACACAGTTCACCTTTCAACCTGCCACTATTCTCAGATATACGGGTTTAGAGACGGTATCAGTGCGTCATCTGTCAGGGAGGCAGAGCAGAGGGACAAGGGCCAGAAAGACTACTCTGGTTTGTGGGGCAAGTACAAGGCTCAGGTGAGTTAACTGTTATGTAGACAATTTCACTTTCACTTTCACTTTGAGAGTACACAGCTCAGGTGTGTTTTTAAGAGAGTTTCACTTTCACTTTGAGATTAATTTTATTCTTGTAAATCCCATTATCATTATGATTATATTTGATGCTATTTATATCTGATTTCGACTGTTTAATCTCTATCAATAAGTAATAATAATTCCATTTAAGTTGAATAGTGGAACGACAAAGAAAGGCTCAATAATGCCGACATACACAGCTTACAACAGCTATCTACTGCAACTAACCTACTCTAACGGGATGAACAAAAGTGCACTTGATGTACAGTTACCTAATCTAATGCAGGTACAGTGTTATTAATTTGTAAGTTCTTTTTACTTTCAGGTTCTTTTTCAGATTATTTTATTGAGCATGAGATGTGTTCAAAAATTCTAATAGATTCAGGCGAGCGCTCGTATTTCTTTAGAACATATATTTGAGGAGTCAAATACAATAGAATGCATGAAAAATAGTGTTATTTAAGAACCCAATATAATATATTACTATTTGCTCAAATGATAATATAACATATTATGGAATAATGGTGCGTTTGTATGCAGTTGAGCACAATGTTCAATCACGTACATTGAAACTCAACTATCAAATTCAGAGCTCTGATTGAAAGTCCTGCTTTTGCAATTTATTTGTGTTAACTGCTATTCGTAATTAATGTACTGCAGCAAGTATTAAATGTAATAGTGTATTTAGTGAGAGAGAAATGTTTTAGCGTCATTGTTGATTGTTCCAGCTGTAATTCTAAAGTGTAACATTTCAGGAGCTTGAAGCAGTGGAACACAACCTTCACAATTTCCTTGTGTCAGTACTGAGCTACACATTCAGCAGACAGGACCACCATTTTAACGAGTGTAGAGATATTGTCAGTAACTCCTCTAACACCATTCAGAACATCGACCCTGCCTTGTAAGTAACATTACTTTGTGTGTATTAACAAACGATTTCTGTTCAAGTTACGTATTATGCCATATAAGATGAAACTGTCATGGTTGATAATGGATAGTGGACACAATATGTGAAAAATGTTCACATATTGTGTCCGTTGTTCGACCGGAATCCCAACTTAATCCCGGTCCCAGTCAAAATCGGTCTAAATTACTATTCTGAGTAAAATATTTTTTTTAAAAAAATCGTCTTAATCCCGCTACCGCCCCTTTTTTTCCAGTCCTGGTCCCGCCCAAAAAAGCGGTTCCGGTGGAGCCTTGGTTAAAATTTATGCTTAGTTATTAACTATTTGACTTTCAGGGACGTAGCTAAGTTAGGAGAGAGTCTAGTGTTACCCCCAGAAGTACACCCCATCTATCTGGACAAGGAGTTCATTCCGGCTGATACTGAAGATTCAGGAATTCCTAAGGTGATTATGAAGTTTAAATAGTTAGCTACAGTGTATACTGTATTAGAGAGGTTAGGTGTAGGTATACTTTGTGGACTGGGAAAGGTGCACCTGATTTACCATCATTTAGATTCTTAACATGAGCCTAGAGAGATTTTATTTCCTGTTTTCGTCACGTGACCAAGCTTAAGTGGGTCAAGACTCAAGTCTTATGATAGTCTCAGAATAAGATTTACCGTAACCGACTTCCCTTAATATGTATAATAATGACGTTATAACAATTAGTACATAGTTGTAGACAATAAAGTAAAGGTGCGGCCGCTTCTAGTGGTACTCACTAGCAAATTCTAATCTTTATTCTTCACCATTCACAATTAGTGTTATCACTAGTCACTACTTGTATCTAGATTACAGCAGGGCTGGCTAGAGTTAACTTACTCATGTAAATAATAAACATGCAACTCATCTCCAAGCTTAATGTTACCTGATATACACTCAGCATAACTACAGACCAATGCCGCCTCCCCACACCTCGTTTATTACTTTTTAATTTCTTCAAAACCTTTCTTCTCAGGACATCAGTAACGGGTATCTGGCTAAAGAAGAATACACTGCCCATACACTAAGTTAGTATATCAGTATCTTCTAATGATTATGTTGTCTCAGTGCATTTATCATTTAAGTTAAATTGCTGAAACATAGTATGAAGCCATAAGAATATCAAGGTCAAATTCTTTTTGCACATTTAAAAAATCTCTAATCCATTAATAGGTAAAAAGTACAAGAGAACAAAGAAAGATTTGAGTAACTTGGATGTGGAAGTTAAAAAAAGGAACAAGGATTTGGACGCTTTAAGTAAACTTCTGTCTACGTAAGAATTGAATCATTTGTTTAACTATTAAATAATATTGTTACTGTTTCTGTTACTTCTTCCCTTATCTGTCATCAAGTGTTTGATCATCATGTTGATTTGTTTCAAATTTGCAGTCTTCATACCAATGTAAGAATGTGAGACCTTTAAAAATGTCCGGTATCTGAATTCAATGCGATAATCTTTAAACAAAGTTGGGAGAAATTGGCTCATTTCCAATTTTCCACACCCATACACCCCGTTATTCTTTTGGGGTGCAAATTCCTTTTCCCACCCCATGCTTTATCCGTTGTAACTTTGTAATATCAAGTTTTTTACGGTATTTGCAAAGTAAGTATGTCTTCGTATTATTAATTGGTATTCCCTAATCCTTATGTATCTCAGGTATCAAGAAAATCCCACCTACGGTAAGGCGTCTGACATAGAAGTGCAAATGTCAACTTTAAGGAACGAGTTAAGAATGCTGGAGATGTCGAGATTCGGTTTGTCTTCTCAGGTAAAAAGGCAGAAAAAATGGCTACATGAACCTTTTTTTATTGTACTGTTGCAGTAGCCACATGGTCCAATTGTAAACTTGAAAGTTGAAATCGTTACTAAATAAATTTGGGTGACACATCTGCCGAATTAGCCCAGCTGTCATGAGCTACATATCATCAGTAATCAAAAATATCATCTGGTTTGTTTACGCTGTAATAAGATCGGAAATACGACGGCATTCCATTTCTACGGTTCTACTGCATTCCATTTCTACGCTATCAAAAGGTCTACTAAAATCGGTGAGAGCACGTTTCCTTGATTTGTGTAGTGGATTTGTAGTGGATTTCACAGGTGTAGTGGATTTGTGTTCCGGGGTAGGTGGAACATGTTTTGGTGGTTAAATAGGTAGTACGTGACCCAAACGATCATAAAAACCGAGTTTCGATCTCCCAACCCACTCAGGCCACTCCCAGGGGCCACGCCCATCCCAAAATTACTGAAAATTAGGTAAAATCAAGACCGAAAATCTTTACCCCCGTAGTGCATTTATGTTCCGGGGTAGGTGGAACATGTTTTGGTGGTTAAATAGTTAGTACTTGTACCAAACCATCAGAAAAACCGAGTTTCGACCTCACAACCCACTCAGGCCACTCCCAGGGGCCACGCCCATCCCAAAATTACTGAAAATTAGGCAAAATCAAGACCGAAAATCTTTACCCCCGTAGTGCATTTATGTTCCGGGGTAGGTGGAACCTGTTTTGGTGGTTTAATAGTTAGTACTTGTCCCAAACCATCAGAAAAACCGAGTTCCGACCTCCCAACCCACTCAGGCCACTCCCAGGGGCCACGCCCATCTCAAAATTACTGAAATCCAGGTAAAATCAAGACCGAAAATCTTTACCCCCGTAGTGCATTTATGTTCCGGGGTAGGTGGAACATGTTTTGGTGGTTTAATAGTTAGTACTTGTCCCAAACCATCAGAAAAACCGAGTTTCGACCTCCCAACCCACTCAGGCCACTCCCAGGGGCCACGCCCATCCCAAAATTACTGAAATCCAGGTAAAATCAAGACCGAAAATCTTTACCCCCGTAGTGCATTTATGTTCCGGGGTAGGTGGAACATGTTTTGGTGGTTTAATAGTTAGTACTTGTCCCAAACCATCAGAAAAACCGAGTTTCGACCTCCCAACCCACTCAGGCCACTCCCAGGGGCCACGCCCATCCCAATATTAATTGAAAATTAGGTAAAATCAAGACCGAAAATCTTTACCCCCGTAGTGCATTTATGTTCCGGGGTAGGTGGAACATGTTTTGGTGGTTTAATAGTTAGTACTTGTCCCAAACCATCAGAAAAACCGAGTTTCGACCTCACAACCCACTCAGGCCACTCCCAGGGGCCACGCCCATCCCAAAATTACTAAAAATTAGGTAAAATCAAGACCGAAAATCTTTACCCCCGTAGTGCATTTATGTTCCGGGGTAGGTGGAACATGTTTTGGTGGTTTAATAGTTAGTACTTGTCCCAAACCATCAGAAAAACCGAGTTTCGACCTCCCAACCCACTCAGGCCACTCCCAGGGGCCACGCCCATCCCAAAATTACCGAAATCCAGGTAAAATCAAGACCGAAAATCTTTACCCCCGTAGTGCATTTATGTTCCGGGGTAGGTGGAACCTGTTTTGGTGGTTTAATAGTTAGTACTTGTCCCAAACCATCAGAAAAACCGAGTTTCGACCTCCCAACCCACTCAGGCCACTCCCAGGGGCCACGCCCATCCCAAAATTACTAAAATCCAGGTAAAATCAAGACCGAAAATCTTTACCCCCGTAGTGCATTTATGTTCCGGGGTAGGTGGAACATGTTTTGGTGGTTTAATAGTTAGTACTTGTCCCAAACCATCAGAAAAACCGAGTTTCGACCTCCCAACCCACTCAGGCCACTCCCAGGGGCCACGCCCATCCCAAAATTACTGAAATCCAGGTAAAATCAAGACCGAAAATCTTTACCCCCGTAGTGCATTTATGTTCCGGGGTAGGTGGAACATGTTTTGGTGGTTTAATAGTTAGTACTTGTCCCAAACCATCAGAAAAACCGAGTTTCGACCTCCCAACCCACTCAGGCCACTCCCAGGGGCCACGCCCATCCCAAAATTACTGAAATCCAGGTAAAATCAAGACCGAAAATCTTTACCCCCGTAGTGCATTTATGTTCCGGGGTAGGTGGAACCTGTTTTGGTGGTTAAATAGTTAGTACTTGTCCCAAACCATCAGAAAAACCGAGTTTCGACCTCCCAACCCACTCAGGCCACTCCCAGGGGCCACGCCCATCCCAAAATTACTGAAATCCAGGTAAAATCAAGACCGAAAATCTTTACCCCCGTAGTGCATTTATGTTTCGGGGTAGGTGGAACCTGTTTTGGTGGTTTAATAGTTAGTACTTGTCCCAAACCATCAGAAAAACCGAGTTTCGACCTCCCAACCCACTCAGGCCACTCCCAGCGGCCACGCCCATCCCAAAATTACTAAAAATTAGGTAAAATCATGACCGAAAATCTTTACCCCCGTAGTGCATTTATGTTCCGGGGTAGGTGGAACATGTTTTGGTGGTTTAATAGTTAGTACTTGTCCCAAACCATCAGAAAAACCGAGTTTCGACCTCCCAACCCACTCAGGCCACTCCCAGGGGCCTTGCCCATCCCAAAATTACTGAAATCCAGGTAAAATCAAGACCGAAAATCTTTACCCCCGTAGTGCATTTATGTTCCGGGGTAGGTGGAACATGTTTTGGTGGTTTAATAGTTAGTACTTGTCCCAAACCATCAGAAAAACCGAGTTTCGACCTCCCAACCCACTCAGGGGCCACGCCCATCCCAAAATTACTGAAATTACTGAATTTACTGAAAATTAGGTAAAAAGGTAAAATCAAGACCGAAAATCTTTACCCCCGTAGTGCATTTATGTTCCGGGGTAGATGGAACATGTTTTGGTGGTTAAATAGTTAGTACTTGTCCCAAACCATCATAAAAACCGAGTTTCGACCTCCCAACCCACTCAGGCCACTCCCAGGGGCCACGCCCATCCCAAAATTACTGAAATCCAGGTAAAATCAAGACCGAAAATCTTTACCCCCGTAGTGCATTTATGTTCCGGGGTAGGTGGAACATGTTTTGGTGGTTTAATAGTTAGTACTTGTCCCAAACCATCAGAAAAACCGAGTTTCGACCTCCCAACCCACTCAGGCCACTCCCAGGGGCCACGCCCATCCCAAAATTACTGAAATCCAGGTAAAATCAAGACCGAAAATCTTTACCCCCGTAGTGCATTTATGTTCCGGGGTAGGTGGAACCTGTTTTGGTGGTTAAATAGTTAGTACTTGTCCCAAACCATCAGAAAAACCGAGTTTCGACCTCCCAACCCACTCAGGCCACTCCCAGGGGCCACGCCTATCCCAAAATTACTGAAATCCAGGTAAAATCAAGACCGAAAATCTTTACCCCCGTAGTGCATTTATGTTTCGGGGTAGGTGGAACCTGTTTTGGTGGTTTAATAGTTAGTACTTGTCCCAAACCATCAGAAAAACCGAGTTTCGACCTCCCAACCCACTCAGGCCACTCCCAGCGGCCACGCCCATCCCAAAATTACTAAAAATTAGGTAAAATCATGACCGAAAATCTTTACCCCCGTAGTGCATTTATGTTCCGGGGTAGGTGGAACATGTTTTGGTGGTTTAATAGTTAGTACTTGTCCCAAACCATCAGAAAAACCGAGTTTCGACCTCCCAACCCACTCAGGCCACTCCCAGGGGCCTTGCCCATCCCAAAATTACTGAAATCCAGGTAAAATCAAGACCGAAAATCTTTACCCCCGTAGTGCATTTATGTTCCGGGGTAGGTGGAACATGTTTTGGTGGTTTAATAGTTAGTACTTGTCCCAAACCATCAGAAAAACCGAGTTTCGACCTCCCAACCCACTCAGGGGCCACGCCCATCCCAAAATTACTGAAATTACTGAATTTACTGAAAATTAGGTAAAAAGGTAAAATCAAGACCGAAAATCTTTACCCCCGTAGTGCATTTATGTTCCGGGGTAGGTGAAACATGTTTTGGTGGTTAAATAGTTAGTACTTGTCTCAAACCATCAGATAAACCGAGTTTCGACCTCCCAACCCACTTAGGCCACTCCCAGGGGCCACGCCCATCCCAAAATTACTGAAAATTAGGTAAAATCAAGACCGAAAATCGTTACCCCCGTAGTGCATTTATGTTCCGGGGTAGGTGGAACATGTTTTGGTGGTTAAATAGTTAGTACTTGTCCCAAACAATCAGAAAAACCGAGTTTCGACCTCCCAACCCACTCAGGCCACTCCCAGGGGCCACGCCCATCCCAAAATTACTGAAAATTAGGTAAAATCAAGACCGAAAATCTTTACCCCCGTAGTGCATTTATGTTCCGGGGTAGGTGGAACATGTTTTGGTGGTTAAATTTTCGGTATTGCGAAGGGGAGGCCTGCCTTCCGATATCGCATTACAAAGGGTAACCCTCGAGTCCAAAATCGTATATCGAAGGGTAGGTGCGGACTTCGAAAACCGAAAAAAATATTTTTGGCTCAGAATGATCAGAGTAGCATGAAACATGAACAAAAGTAGTTTCCAAGAAAACTTTGAAAATTTTTGACTTAGAAAATTTTCGGTCCGAGTCATTCTCGATACGTACCTCTGAAAGCAGAGCTCCCGCTTCCGAGCTCGTATTGCGAAGGGGAGTCCTGCCTTCCGAGATCGCATTACAAAGGGGAACCCTTGATTCCAAAATCGTATATCGAACTTCGAAAACCGAAAAAAATATTTTTGGCTCAGAATGATCAGAGTAGCATGAAACATGAACAAAAGTAGTTTCCAAGAAAACTTTGAAAATTTTTGACTTAGAAAATTTTCGGTCCGAGTCATTCTCGATACGTACCTCTGAAAGCAGAGCTCCCGCTTCCGAGCTCGTATTGCGAAGGGGAGTCCTGCCTTCCGAGATC